TTATTGTTGCTAGTCCATCCATCGGATAATTGTTTATGTCCACAAATGCACCACACGGGACTACATCGGAGTATTCCGCATACAGCGCAGAATCCATATCGAGAGTAACAATGGTAAAAGTCTCTATCAGCAATCATGTAATAGTTGTTGTCATACTTGGTAAAACCCTTTATGAGTTTGTTGCGAAAGCGAAGCCATCTGGAATATCGTCTAAATCGACTGACATCATTATTGTACTTGTGTGTCGGAAGTGAGTATATTCTAGCAAACTCACTTATAAGTGTTGGCGTACAGTTTTCATCGCCTCCAAGGAATACCAGTGTTATCTTGCCGTAGTAATAGACGTTGTTGATTTGAGTTGGCTCTATGTCGGTGAATTCCGAACAAGGAGTCCATTCAAGTCTTAAGTATTCATATTCGCTTTCCAAGGAGGCTTGAACCAAGTTATCAATTGCTGCGTGAGCCAACGACATCGTCTGAAGTTTCGAAGAGCCACTTTCTACTTTGTGCTACATCGTACATCATAAAATAAAGTTCGTTCCAATTTTGGTAATATTCAGCGAATCATTGATTATTGCCAACTTAAACGGATTTTTTTACTTTTTTTACTTTATAAGCATGTGAAAAACCATATTTAAGAAACAAAGTATAATATTGAAAACGACTTACAAGTTGTTCATTCACCAAAGTGTATTTGTTCTTTTCTTTTCGACTATAATTATGGAAATATTTATTATGGTGGTCGCGGAGAGCTTGCAGCACATATAATACTGATAAGAGCTTGGGATGTTTGTGCATGCATTCGCAATCATAGGACTATTGCCAACCAACCAATATTCATCCCCCGTCACTATTACTTAATTCATAAATGCACTCTTGGCATTGACTTGGTTCAATTTGTGATGCAACAGAAACAAGAACAAGAACTGGAAGATGATCAAGATAGGTTGTCAAGTGGCCATCTTTTTAGCCAAAGTGATGTCGAAAACTTAGCTAATGCAAATTCTCTGAGGTTTGTCGTCGCGCAATAATAAGGAATCCGAGACTGTTTATAATAATCGGGAAATTATCCGATAGCGAAATATGGATATATTCCCGATTATGACTGTTTGCAATAATTGCTTAGGTTAAACAATTAATTTATCTAGATGTTTGTACGGTGGCGTGGTCGATTTTGCTTCTCAACATATATCAGTTGTTTTTGATGTATTGATGGCTACAGACGAGTTGGAATTATTGAGCCATTGAATGATGTACCCTTGCATATATTACATATACCCCATCCATATGTTATGGGCTGATCTGATGAATCAGATAAGTAAGTCACATCTCAAAGTTGTATTAATATTACACTTTCTTACCATACATTTACGTATATGCTCAGCACTAAGATTTAGCTCAGTAATACAAAAGTTAAATTAGTAAACGGCGTTTTTCGAAAAATCCGCAACAGGCGCAGTAACAGCAAAAACGTTTCAACAACACAAGATACTATAATTGGAAATAGCTAAAAGAGCGTTGCGGATATACAGTATAAGTAGCTCATATTCCATCGCCAAATCTTCATGTTCTCATGTCGAACATTGTTGTGAAATAAAAATAATACTACCGATCTTAGTAGTATTCTCCCGAATATTCTTAGTTGCTATGGCAAATGCATAACTCTACAGTTTATTGTGAAAGCGAAATGTCATAAATAAAGAAAAACTCTGATTGCTCAAATTTAAACTAATAAACGTGTCCAATAAAATAAGACATCATAATTTGCCCGGACAGGTTTGATTTTCAAATTTATACCAAATCATAAACTAAATTCTTTTTTTTATTATCATTAACTTTATAAAACTATATTAATCTTGAATATTGATATCCATAACTACACATATGTTATAAGATGTCTTATATACACATTCGAGCATAAAGGTTGCAAGTGCACTAGGATTAAATGGTTCTTGATACCGTGCTTCACGGAGACATTGTAAATATAAATCTCGTGGTTCAGATCCAGTGTATAAAGAAAGAGGTACAACTGTGAATTTTGATAAAAGGTAACTTAAAAGCAATCTCCCTACTCTTCCGTTTCCATTTACAAAAGGGTGAATTGTCAAGAAATAGGGAAAAAAACATGCCCCGCATTTAATAGCTTCCTCCAATTGCAAGTCTGTCCTTTCGAATTCCTCTCTACATTGACGGAATAACTCGTCCATTTTATCCTCGATCAAATCCGGTGCCACATATACATAGTTTTCTTGTGTTGCCATAACATGTCGCGTTCTATACCGACCCGCGTTTCTAATCAATTCATTTCCAATTTTTCGATGCAACTGTTGTGCAAATACAAACGAAGGTGTAAACTGATCTATTGGAAGATCAGGAAAGAAGATTGATGGAAAAATACCAATAAAGGCATCGTGGATGTTTTTCACTTTCTTCTTCAAACGTAAAGATCTTTCGGATATGAGACAATATGCAAATTTTCCGCATAGCCAGCTCAAAAACAGTCTAAGAATACTAGTTTTTTTTAGAGCCTGTTGTATAAAGTCGATAGTGTTCACGATGAAGGTTGATATATCCTTCCAAAAGAGCGGGTCACTTTCGTTAACAGCCAATAATATGGCATGTTGGTGGCGCTTGGCGTTTATGACAAAATAACTAGCATTATGTTCATCATAAGAGGGCTTCCACCAGGCTCTATCCAAAAAGTCAAAATTTGAATATATCATTGACTTTTAATATGAAGCAGTGTTAGTTATAGTAGTATTTAAACCGTTACGATTCAAATTTAAAAAAAAAGTACCGCTTTTTTAACTTTTCTCCTGTCCCGAACTTTTGACCCCAAAGCTTCTCGTCTGCTTCCTTCTCCTCTCTGTTCTGGGCTTTCCATCGTGTACAGTAAGAAAGAACGTTAAAAATGTGATAAGTCAATTTCTGAGTTGCACATAATGTAGTAATATTTTTTGGCGCGAATGGATAAATTTTTTGGCACTCATATGACATTAACGGTGACATCATTGCAATTTGGGGAAGATAAGATTGCTAAATTAACTTTATTGAATAAGACGTCTACAAGACCCGCAGAAGGAGACTATGGTATGAGTGGATGACGTAACCGAATATCCGTTTCAAGCGGCAATCGAACAGATCATACCTGTCGTTACAAAAGCTTTTCAGCAAATTACCCACAAATACCAGAACGGTAAAACGAGTCATCACACGCCAAAAATAAAAAACGCAATTATGCAATTACCCGATAAACAACCGAACTTATGTCAGGAAGTCTGATATAACAGAGCGATATCGACGTAATGAAGGTCATTCGTTTTGTACTCATTATAAATAAAAAACTGTGCTATCATAATCCGGGAGTAATAGACGCAGCTGTAGTCGCTTGATTTATAGTGTATTGCAAGTCAAGTCAACAGTAGTAGTAAAAATAATACTGCATTAAATACGGGAATTAATTCCTTTTTTCCTATGGCAAGGCAATCGCATTAGTGCAAGTACGAGATGAGTAAACATAGAAACGACAGTAATGCAAAGAGATTTATCTGGCTTTTTGATGCTTGACTAAGAACGAACATAGCGCTGAATTGATAAGGCACATGGTGATAGTGTCATTTGTTATTATCAACTACACATAGTATTCTCTATTTCCCACAGTTACTGTATTTCATTTTGGGTATCAGCTGTTTTTTTTAATGGATAATTTCGGTCTGTGGCAGATACGTACGTAGAAAAGCTACATAATATAAAGACCACTCATATTTTGTGGAACCCAGAATTCAAAGTTGCTTTCTACCTAGTTCCATTATGACAAAGTCTAAGAAAACAGTAATTATTGTGTACGTCGGGAGAGTTGCAATGCTTTTGGGAATTTCTCCATTTACATAACCAATCACTGATAGACACGTATACTTAAAGTGGAGCAGGAATATCCGGTTTATACGCGGCACATCAACTTCATAAAGCAGGATTTCAAGTAAAAGTTCTTGAAGCTAGCAACCGGGTTGGTGGACGGGTTTATGGCGCTCAACTTACTGATGGCAAGAGAATTGATCTTGGAGGTAAGCGATAGCCCTAATTTAAACGCGGGGTGAGTATTGCTATGGCGATTCAATAGACTTGCCAATTTCTTTCTTGTCCATAGGCCAATGGGTGGGCAAGACTCAAAAGCACATTTTGGACTTGTTGAACGAACTTGGGTTGGAAACTTATCCGCAGCATGCTCAAGGAAAGACTGTCCACTGGAGATCGAAAACCATTAGAAAGTTCAAGGCTACGACGACCATACCCCCTTTGAATATCTTTGGTAACGAAAAAGTTATAGCCGGTTTCCAAAAATGGTTACGCCTCTAACTAATACTAATCGGTTGTTCATACATATACTTTCTAGTTTTGTTGGATCTTCATTTTAATGGAATTTCTGCGACCGACAAATTGTGCAAAGGCATCGACGTCGATCACCATCTGAAGTCGAGTATGTACATATTTTGCACATTCTATTGATAATGTATATTAACTGTATCCTTACCTTCACCTTTCGGCTCAAACAATGCTGTAGAAAATGCAGAGTATCTGGATTCAATAACCGTCGGCCAATGGATTAGTTCCAATGTGCATAGTAAGGCAGTCAGAGAACTTTACGATTGTGCTATACGAATGATAACAGGTGCTGAAGGAAACGAGATCTCGATGTTACATTACCTGAGTGTAGTCAAGGCTGGAGGAGGTAAATATACATATTGCGTAAATGCTTGCTCATTTTGATCGGCGTATCTAACCGATTTCATACTCGTAAACGAACAAGGTATCTTAAGACTGTCCGAAACTCGAGATGGTGCACAAGAGTTCAAGATTAAAGGTGGAGCATACCAAGTCCCCGAGAGTCTCCGACGCAAATTACCCGAAGGGTGTATCTCCTTTCAACGTCCAGTTACGCGAATCAAGAACCACAAGGACAAAGTGGAAGTGTATTCCGGAGATCACAAGTTTGATGGTGATTATGTGGTTATGGCCATTCCCCCCACTGCGCAGGCTACGATTTCTATCGAGCCATTTGTCGGATTGGCGAGAGCAAAGGTAGGCTAGATAACAATTGAAGCTATCTGTAGGAATGGGCTCTCCAGTGTACTAATAAAGATTCCTCTTCTCATCCCACCTCTTTGTAGTTGTGTGAAAAGATGTTTATGCCATCATATATTAAAATTGCTTTAGTTTATGAGAAGGCGTGGTGGAGAGAGAATGGATTTAGTGGAGAAATCATTTGTTTTGATAAATCTCCAGACATTCAATCTGGAGAAGGCATATCTCCTATTTCAATGGTAAGACCATTCTTGTGTATTTTAAGTCACCGGATAACTATAGTTATTGAAAAACTTTTTATCTTTATATTAGATTGTCGATGGTTGTAACGATGATGCTTCTCTTACGGCCTTGTTAGTATTTATTACTGGGAAACATGCAATTGAACACACCAAGGTGATATTATAACCGTTGGGCGTCACGTCCCACCCATCGTATATGTTTGCTAAAATGGTCGACTAATCATTCGATCTATAATGTCTGATCCAATCCATCAGCATCCGTATGAAAAAACTAAAGCACAAATTCTTAGTCAAGTGGCTCAAATATTCTCATATGATCAAGCTGCTCATCCCATTGAGTATATCGAAAAGAATTGGCTGCTAGATGAATGGAGTACCGGAGCTCCATCTGCACTATGTGTAAGCAAAATGAATTAAAAAACTATCAATTGATTAATAACAATAGCCTGCCATGAAGTTAATGACGACAATTTTTTTGTAGCCGCCAGGAACGCTTACTTACTATGGCGAAGCATTCCGAAAACCGATTGGACGAATGCACTTTGCTGGTAAGTTAAATTGACTGTTGCGTGTCCCATTTTAATGCATAGCATTTATTGTGTTCCACTTTTTCTCTTGAACAGGTACCGAGACTGCTGTCCAAGACACAGGATACATGTCTGGAGCAGTACAAGCCGCTGAAAGAGTTGTTTCTGAGATCTTAAAGGCTGAAGGCGTCGATAATGACTAATATAACGTTGTCTTGTTTTCTCAACTCCGTTGACTGTATAACTATGCTATATAGACTATTAATTAGAAACTTTAATAATATAGTTTAGTTAGAATTTTGGTATTTATTGTAGAAGTCTGGATAGTCTTCATGCTGAAACTATGAAACAAATGTCTTGTACACGAAATCTTAACGCTATGGTAGTAATGAATGTTTCAGCTATTTTAGTTAATTATAGTTACTAAGAACAAATAACAAACATTCTTTGTAACGTATTAGTCATTACTATAACAGTAAAATTCTTTGAATTCTCCAATCAAATTTACAATGTCGAGTCAACAACCGCGGGAGAGCATCGATTACTGACTCTGAGAATTCGAGTGGAGTGTGGCTCCTGCTTTTAGTTAAATAGACATGACAGTAGTGACCTTTAACGCTAAGCTTTTCTCAATGTCGATGCGTAGACACTAATCCTCGATAATTAATCCGTCTTTGAGTAATCCTCTATTCTCTACCGATGGGATCAAACGGTAGTCTATAGGTTGGGGTATAATCGCAATTCTATCTATAACAAACGCGTTTTGGAGTAAAGAAAGCATGTAGAAGTTTATTTAAAGCAAAACCTCAACTTAATAAACGTGAAATTTGTGAATATGTTAAACGACATCCAAAAGCATAGCGAACTAGCAAACCGTTTAATGAGAAAATCATCCTCTCTACAGTGAACTACTGTCTATAGCCACACCCTTTTAGCAGCCCATTTGTGGTAATTATAGACCGAAGGGATTGAGACAATGGCACGTGGTTATTTATTTACCATTCTCTGTTTTCCCTTAATGTCTTTTAGATTTTTTATTCAGAATAATGTTATTATTTAAAGTCGATTGTTTTTCTCCTCAGGAAGTTGCGATTGTAAATCTTGCCGTTGATAATATCGATGGCAACAATTGCACCAATGACTCAAGGCATCACTAGTTTTGACAAATAATTCTTTCTTCACCTTCACTAGCTGTCCAGCTTCGCCAGCAGAAGTATTATTGTTGAACGGTCAACATTGAGGAACGCTTCCATCAATTTTTTGCCGAACAGTTATGCGCTTGAAATTGACAATTTTATTTTATTTTGGTTAAACTTTAGAAGGCAGTTTTTCGATGCGCGCATCATTCTAAATAAAGCGCGTGATCAGATGTAACTATATACAGCTTATAGGAAGATTTATTAGAAATTGTGACTATAGGCAAGGTGATTTTCATATGAAATGGTTTGGCACGAACCATTAATGATTATAAGCAGATAGTGACTATAACCAGTAATAATAGTTGGCTGTTTATAAATCATCCATCGTTAACTCAATAAAAATTGACGCTTACTTTGGAACTAATTCATTGTTAATGTCGTTAACTTTAAAGAGAGAAAAATCAACATCTTTAGTATAATATAATCTTAATCACATGACTATACGTAAACCTTCTATACAGTCACATTGCCAGACAATCGCAGCTGTAGAGAGGTCGGGCGGAATACGTCATCATTATTATCGTTATTGGCTTGATGTATATGTTAGTTTCAACAACACTCGCATCTAAATGAATGTAACATATGCGAAGAGTGGTGTGCCTGTCAACATTGTACCACAATAAACATATGAAAATATTTTATTTAAATACTCATCAACGACATTCCATCCTCTATTCTTTAATCCGTTTTATAATCGGTTACATATTGACTAGAGTTTGCTTGTCATGAATTTCTTCCAACGGGAGTTGGTTCCTACGTTTATTTATACAATTAAAGGTGACATTTGCCAGCCTCGTCGTTCAGCAACATTAATAGAACGTCCTTTGGCTTGGGTAGGGTAGCTTATTTCTTCTTGCCTACAAAATGTTCAGCAAACGTCTGGCGCGCTTACATGGTCATTTTTCTGAATGATGAAGCAATACGATAATCAAAGTCTGGTTACCTTTCCATATTATGTAGCAAACATTCTTGTGCTCTTTATTTCGAAATACTACGCATACTTCTGAAAAAAACCGCCGTCAAAAAATATTCACCCATCATATATATATGTATATATATTAAGAATATATTTATAGCAACGTCACCAGAAACAGTGTAAACCTTACTGCCCATGTCCGCTTTAAATACCTCAATTGGTTGTTATTGATATCTCCCGCATTCTCACTTCGGCCTTACTAAATACAACATCAGAATTGGGAGACTTTACCAGCGGGAAATAACAGACGGCAATCTCCGCTCTATCAGAAGAAATATCATCTCCGCATGCTCCTTCCATCTTCTGCTCGTCAAACAGAGTCCCGCTGTCAAAGAATACAAATTCCAACATTGGACGCTGACTATTTGTAGGGAAGGCATACAGCGAGATAGCATTGAACACAAGGTTGATGACTTCCTCGTACAATCTGGATTTTCTGGAGCTCTTAATACTTCGACAGTCATTCATCACGGAAAGTATTTTATCAACAAGCGGCTTAACATTCTCGAATATATGCGACCGCAGAGAATCATAATTGACATCTCTGATCTTGGATGGATCGATATCACCACCAGCTTGAACGACAGAAACGTTATTGGTCAAATTGACCAAATGATGTGTAAGCGCTATTCTACTTCTATTACCATTATTGACTTTGTCAAAACTGGAAATAGTTCCCTTGAAGAAGTCATTAGTATAATCAAAGATAAGCTCAAGCACTTTCCGTTGAAGAACACAGCTGAGAAGCAACTTTGGAAATTGTCCGTCTACTATGGAATAGTCGTCATATTCTCTCAATAGCTTCATACTAGCTTCCTTATTAATTGTAAAATCGGCACCCTTGACTGAAGTAAAGACCTGTAGCGATCGTTGCAATGACTTTATTTGCTTCACAAGTTCAACCGATGTATGACAACTTTCCGTGGAGTGACGTTTCGTTGCTTGGAGAGCAGCATGAGCAACAAGTAGCTCCTCCTTCAACATCCTAGTTTCATTCTCGAGGTTTTCGTTTCTTCTTCGTAGCCCGTCCGATAATCTTCTTATAGACTCCATTTCATCGGCCAAAGTAGTAACACGGCCGCCGAGCTCCTTGTTGACGGAAAGAACCTTGACATACTCGGTCGCTATTTCCTTGCCATCTATGGTATTAGACTCGTCCTCGAGACTCGAATACTTTGCTCGAAGTTTTTCGTACTTTAGTTTGAGTGTTCTATGTTCATTGAACATGTGAGTAAACTCGTCTTTTCGATTATCGCAATCTTCGATCTTTTTGTTGAGATCCTTAATGACCTTTTCGCACTTTTCAAACTTTTCGGTAAGCTCGATATGAAGTTTCCGTAAATTCTCGAGTTCTTCGTTTAGACTCTCGTTCTCTAGCTTGAGTTTGTTGTTCTCATCGGCTTGTATCTCTGCTTCTTTCGCCTGTTCCTGCATCGTCTCATATAGACCTTGGAACTTTTGAGTTAGCTCGGCAACAATACGGGGATAGTCGGCTGTTGCTGCAGCCGATTCGGATTGTTTGCTGAGAGATGCATTAAGTTCGTTTATCTGGTATGATAGCTTACTGGTCGTCTCTCGAAGCGTTTTATTTTCATTCTCTTTCTGCTCGAGTAATTCCTCAAGCTGTCTATGTGCTTCAACGACGCTTTTCTGTTTCTTTATACAAGCTTGAAGCTTGTCGTTTTGTATTGTAAGTTTTTTGTTTTCTTCGCATTTTTCTTGGAAGCGTATGGTTAATTCTGGCGCTTCACCGGTCTCGGACAGGTGATTGAAATTTTCATTTAGTGCTTTATAGGCTTCTTCGAGTTCTCTATAGCTGTTGAGCAAAAGCCTATTTTCTTGATTTAACTTGGCGATAGTCTCGATATCTATTGGACGAGGCTTGCAAGGAACCTTTTCTTTATCCGTTTGGTCGACAGGTATGAACGTCATGGCTGCCGAAGTGCAAACAAATATTGTAGCAGTTTTTAAACTTTGAGTTTACTGTTTGTATATACGTTGTATGACGTTGGAAATATAACAAAAGGGGAGGAATGCTGTTATGGGAAAGAGAACCCGAGATTTGCGTTGGAGCGAGTTCCGTCTATTTACTCCGCTGCGCACTATCTGGGTGTGTGTGAGGTATACCGTGAGAACACGGACATTATCATCTAAACTTAGCCGCATAAGGGATTTTGTGTGATGGGAATCAAAGCAAATGATCGCGTGACAGTCATGATGTAACAGATAACATAGAACGAGTAGAGCAAGAATGTAGTAGAGAGAGGGAAGGTTCATCATAACAATTGGACCCCCCATATCATAGCCGCATTGTATTTCCAAGCAATGGCTGCCCATAGATCGAGTACTACATTAATATTAATTAGCATAACAATCTCCATAGCAACTAGTCACTGCCAACCAAATAATTATAAATATCAAGATGACTAGAACCACATTTCTGATTTCACGTAACAGTTTTCTATTCTTTGCAAGACACTGTTTACTAAACAGCTTAACGTTCTCTATTTCCTTTGTTTCTATATTTCCATTCGCTTCTTTTATTAAGTGTTCGTTTGTACTATTAGGAATCGAAAGCGATGCGGCGGAGCCAGAATGATAGGATACAGGAAGGATAGTCGAGACATTTGAAGAGGGTGGTGCATTGGGTGAGAGTAAGCCCGGTTGAGTTTTGAATGGGCTCCATGATGGATGTAGATTAGCTGAAGATTGAAGGTGATTGGGAGAGGAGGCGAGTACGGATGAGGGTGAGGATGGAGTCGACTGCTGTTGTTCGTGCCCGAGTTTATTGTTAATTGTAACCGGATGAGACATGTTTAATGAGGGACGTTGTGTAGTGATGGAATGTCTCGGCGAATGGGGAGATGCGTCGATTGTGGGCATTAATTATGTAGGAGTCGCAATTTGAACAATATAAGTAAAGGAGAGTTTAAAAGTTTGATTTGGTGGATGAGGATGAAACTGGGAAAACATCTTTATTTAAGCCATTGTTACGTAGTGCACAAACAGCTAAAAATAATGACATTAACCATAAAAGTGCTCGACCAGGAAAGCCTGTTAACTATAAATAGACAACTTGCGAGATGATCTTTGAAGGGTTGTCCAAATGAGAAATCATGAAGTGATGTAATCAGTATTATAATATGATACAGCCCTAAACTAAAGCGTTGAAACTATGATACGCTACTTGCTGTCTTAAAATCAACCTGGCTCTTCTGTGCAGTCAAAGGGAGAAAATGTCGTCATTAAGGAAAGGCCGATGGTTTTACAAAGTTGTACATGTGATCAAGTGATCGATAGTTAAACACAAGGGATTTTAATTTTTTCGATGAGATAATCAATTTGGGATGACAATGGAAACTCTTTATATGACGTATTCAAGCAAAGATAGTTGACGATAGGGAGATGTCCGACAGAATGCCAAGCATTGGAGCAGAGAATGATTAAAGGCATGATGTTTTATAAATATTACACAAAACCTACATAGTAGACTGGCTATGGTGAAAGGCTGCAAGTCATAAACCGTCTCGATAATCAATAGGTTTTAGTTTGTTTAATCTGCATTTGGATAGTCACACTGCATACCCTTTTATAGAGGCATTGATATCTCTTTAAGGGATTACTTTTTCTGGTGTTGATGTGGGATCTACGTTTAGTTTATTGACTTTCTATGGCAGATTCTGCTCTTTCCACGTCTCGGCTTTGTATAAATCTCCAACAAGTGACAAAATATTGTCGCTCAGCGTGTATTGTACTCTTCCCCATCAGTTAATTGTTTGATATAACGAAGGTACGCAGCGTTTTATTCTTGTTCGATGTTGCTGCAAACGGACAAAAGACATGCGGATTCTTAAATTGCGGTTTAACAATAGTCTTTTGTTACAATCATCGTAATTATCAAACTCTAATTATAATTGACCGTCCTTTATCTACTTTTAGGATAACAATAAATTGGAAATTATTCTTTTGTGAACCCTATTGCAAAAAGCAATGTAGTTAACAAGGTAAACGTAATTCCTGGATGTTAATGTTACACCATTCTGATGAAGGTTTTCGCAAAATGTGATGAACATATTAATATTAATATTAATATTAAAACGTAAACACATAAACAAAAGGTGTGATCGTCAAGGCTTAGCAACGGATGTTACAATCTATTAACTTTCCAGTAGCAGATTGCCCACCTTCATTTAATCAATGATCCATTAGCAAAGCATCTTTATATGGACCCCAGACTCCATCAACAAAAGCGATCTATTTGTCACGAGAATGCATAAGCATATTACCATAGTCTCCTGGCAAAGTTCAATTAGAATGCTTAGCAAGCTTTGCCTTGAAAATAACATGATTTGGACTGCTGCCGTCAGTTTGGTTTGCTCCTTGCCATTATTACAAGCAACTATCGCTGCGTTTCAGACGCAGACGGGACCCCGAGAATCGACTATACGATGTAAGTATCGCTACTTATGTGTTACCGCTTGAGAGAAATTTGCCTGTCTTGTTAATTTTCTCTTCCCAAGAAGTTTCATTTATTCTTCTTAGCCTCATCCTTTCTCCGAATACTCTGTACTTATCCGTTCTTTCCTTTCGCTTGCCTCTAATTTTCC